TGTGCGGGATGACTGCAGATTTACTGAAGAGTTCCAAGTTCCCTCCGGCATTGAAAAGTGTGCCTTGTAGAATGGGAAGGGTAAATGGGAATTGATCTTGAGCACCGGGGGCTAGTAAAACTACGCGAGGATCACGGGCTATACCTCTTCCGAAGCCATTAACCGGTCAATGTATCCTTTCCAACAGATCCTATCGCTATTTTCCCGGCAATAAACACTACAGCCCTCCCACCCTCAAAAAAAAACACACATGTATATACCAATCCAAATCCAAAATCCAAAATCCAACAGGGGTGTTCTACCACAGGGCAATGAAAATTCCGAACCGCGCCCTCTATTCTGCTTAAGAACCATTGTACCTCCCGGTTAATCCCACGCGAGTGACCATTCTGGAATCACGGATGCCGGGCACTTCCACAGTTCTGTTTTGTTCTAAATTGGGTGTGGGCTTGTCCGCCAACCGGCCCCCCGCTCTTGACCTCTTGCAATCCCACCATAATACGGACCTTGGGGGTGGGAAGTCGACGTAGGCGTGTGACCGGGAGCGCGGTTTTCCGTCGGGGAATGGTGTCTTGTGCGCTTTCAGGGAGTAATTGTGAGAGCGCGCTGGAAGAGTACACGGAAAAGGGCGCGGAATTGCACGCTAATGTCAGCTTTCAATATCTACGCCTGAGCGAGTGATGTTCAATGAATGCGTTGCCGCCATGGGTCCCCACCGCAACCTGCCATTTGAAGGTGAATAAGACATTCCGCTGTGGGATTAATTCGTTTTCCAAACTAACCACCTTGCCAGCAAGATTTCTTACGAAAGACGATGAGGGGAATTTTTTTTCTCGTTGGTTGGCGTGCAGGCGCTATTTGTTCCGAAGACCGTTGTTGTAAGCGGAATCCGGCGGGAAGGAAGATTCCGAGAATTTTTGAGTAGGCAAGGGATATTCAAGAGTTTCGCAATCTTCGATGGAATATTAGACGGGAAGTGGTTGGGTAGGTGGTGAAGTCTCAGTAAATATCCGGCGGCAGTAGACTAACTGATGCTTCGTAAACCATCGGGTATTTGTGGCATTGGCGGTTGGATGGCCCCATCGTTTCCGGAAACCCCATCTTAAGACAATCGTGAAGTTGAAAAAGGGAAAAGAAAGAAAAAAGTACACCTCAAGCTACCTCTATTCCGAGTCAAAGATGTTCGCCAACTTGCCCGCAGCCAGCCCTTCGGAGATAAGTATATTCGCGCAGAACATGAATTTCTCAAAATGCAAGTGCTCCCAAAGCGAAGCTCCCTCGTGGGATGTGATTCTCCATTTCGGCGTGAGGTGTAACTGTATCACAAGGCCACCATAACCCAAAACCTCCCGGCGTCTGACCGGGCGAGGATCCGCTTTAAAGCCCCACAACACTTAATCCAGAATTTCTCAAACCCAAGGAACTACAAGGCAAGGGGCGTTCAAGTCGACGCCCCAACACCGCCGCCCGAAGATCTAACCAAGCCCACGGTCGCGAACCCAGTACTGCCTGCCGCAGAGAAAAGCCAACCCACCCACTTGTAAAACTCATATTTATCCCGAAGGTCGGTTAGGCGTATTTATAAGGGATCGTCTCCACATTGTGATTCTTGTGGTCGCTAGATTGTGGGGAGGCGCCGATCCATGCGATTTCCGATCAGGGAGTACTGCCCCAAAGCCCCGCGAGTGTATCGTAGTCAGTTACCCCCCACAGGACCCCCCGCATTTTTAACGTGCACTGGCAGGGCTCCGATCCACCGGGAGCACGAAGCGCACGGTTCACCTAAACAGGCCATTAAACTGAGAGGTGCCCCTCCGACCCCCCGCTTCTCCCGATTTCCACTCCAAATATCCGACCTCCGTCCACCAACCACGAGACAGCCTAAAGCATAGCACACCCCATTCCGCCGGAATCTGCCAAGGCTGATTGGTGGTCACCCTGGTCCCAAACGGATAAGACATGTTGTGTTCATAGAATCCTAGCGCCAGCCGTCATAGTCCCTTGAATCACCTGCCAGGACCACCTCCTGCGCCCGCCCGAGCTTAATCCAACCTCTTCGAATAACCCTATCTGATGAGGATCTTCCTTCCACCGTGATTTATCGTTACAGCCTGCCTCCGGGACCCACATGTAACACCTGTTGGCAGGAAAAAGTCGAGAGCCAGGTAAATCGATACCACACTCACTCCACCACGCTCGGATCTGAGGTGCCGATACCCCAGCCCTAGAGCGCTAAGACACAATCCGGAAAATCCCTTATCGTTGCCAAGTACCCTGCTGTTACCCACGGAAGTATGTTATAGCCCAAGCTCCCGTCTTCCCAGAACCTTAAAGATGTGCTCCTGATCACCACAGCAAGGCCGGGGTAAGGTCTCTCCTCTCCAGTATGAATTCTGCACGGCCACTTGCACCATTGGGACCTCGGAATCGGTGTAAATGGGACACCCGTCCTGGTATCATAGGATCTATGTAGTGGCGGTACAGGATCTGCAGAATGAAAATGTATTTCGTACTATCCCTCACACCGTAGATCTTGTTCGCCGAAAGCGTGGTTACACGAGTAACATTTGAATACTTGACGGAAAAGTGTCTGTACACCTGAGTGGTGGATAGCTCACCACTCCCAACGGCTAACACCATGACCTCCGTAACCGGGACAAGGGGTTATATCATTCGGCGCATCCCAACCACTGAAAGGAGGGCAGTGAAATACATCACTGCAATGTCATCCCGGAAGGCCCATCGAAACTCTAGGCGACGCGAAAGCTGTAAGTTGGACTTCAATTCTGTCCCTCCGGTTAGTTAATTATCGAAAGAAGAAGAGAATGGAATCCGATGAACAAAAATTAAATGAGGTAATTGGTATCATACAAGGGTAAAAATAGACGCACAAACCCAACCGCCAACATTCCAGGGTCCTGTTAATATCTGCGAGCAAGCCGTAATTATCTCCCAATGCCCAGCTCTCCTCTGAAAGACAAAATCGTAATATGGTTCCGCCCCGAGACCAGTGTGGCAGTAAATTGTTCGTGAGAAGCTACGCTCGAAATCTGGCCGGCATGCCACCCAATATATAGAGCTCAGGGTGCGAGAAGTGTGCTTACGGGAATACCTGTTAGGCGACATCCGTGCCGGTATTTCCATTCCAGTTACCCTCGCAAGTGTGGTGGCAAGCAGGGGTGCCCGCATTGTCCGCTGGGAGAGCGCACGGCAGCATCCCGAGTGTGTGAGAAAGCCAGATATTGGCTAGGGCCTTAGGGGGTGATTAGCGCACAAGTGGTCGAGAATCCGCCACACTCCCTCGGAGTTCCACCCCCGACGAAACACCCCACCTCAAGAACCATCGCTAACCTCCACTCACCAGCCTCGTGTATTGTACGGTACATCGCCGTCCGCCCAGAGGGATGTCTTGCGGCCCATTCCACACACACCTCACCTCTCTCCCCCCACCCCGCCCCACAAAGCCGAGACACGGACAACTCTGCGAACTACTCGTAGGGAGATAGCAACCTTGCCGGTACTCGGAGAAATATTTATCCGAAACGACGAGGGGCCAACCGGGTTGCACCAGCACATCTAGCCTCCCACCCCCCCCTCTCCCCGCATCCCCTGAGGAATGGGGGCGGCGAAACCGAGTGATGCACTGTGACCCTACCTTGCTTTGCACAAGGTACAGGCAGTATACATGTGGCACCCTGGACTCGACTTACCGCGACATGCCATTACTACACTATTCCGCCGCCCCACTCCACTGCTTCTACCCGCCACCGGTCAGTCGGGCATCTCCCCGGCAGAGCATATTGAGTGTCTCTAGCATACTGCACTCCGCTGATCGGTTCCTGTTGGGAAGGTTAGGAAGATACCTGAAGCGCTTACTTGAAGATTACTATGCCGGGGTGCTGCGTGAGCTTTTGACCCGATCATGCCTGGTGGGTGCTTCAGAAATGATTGGATGCGGTGGGTGCCCGCACGGAATCTATGATATGGTAACCACAACGATCAGATATTGTATGTATGATGCTGCAGTGTTGGTGTTCTCTCTTAATTTTTCCTCTTTTTGTGTTTTGGGGGCGCTTCGGGGAATCTCGGCTATTCGCGAATGGGTCAGGACTTCAGGCCGAGGCTGGGGATGGACTAGCATCATGGACACGACCGAGGGATAGCATAGTGGGTCTGGTAGTATTATAAAAGACTCTGGAATGGAATAAATATTGGCGGAGGGGCACAAAAAAAATTTAAAAAAAGAGCGAGAGAGAAAGCGATAAGGCCAACAGGGCTTGATACCAGTGCTGTGCTGTGCATTGCCCACTCACGATTCTCTCCCTCCCCCATCGAGCGAGAAGCGAGGTTCGAACTGAAATGGTATCCCGGGTAGGATATCAGACCAGAGATCGCGCTACTGAACTGGCCTGGCGAGGACCGATTGATGGACTGCTAGGAATATATCCCAGACCCACTTTATCGCTCGATAGTCCTCCCGAGACCCGAACACTTTAACCGAATCGGAAAACCCGTAAACCCCCCGCATGCTAAAATTTCGAAATAAATTTCCAGCTGGCTGCTACTGCTCTGCTTGTCTGACCCCCTTTTTTCTATTTGACCCCCTTCCCGTGAGTGATTTCTCCTTCGTGAGGATCCTCTTCCTCTTTTTCCCTTTTTTTCTTCATGCTCCCCAACTTACGGTGGAGAGCTGGGAGCACGAGGGAAACGAAGGGATGGCCTACCGACCAAATCAAGTCAATGGATAGCGGCAGCCAACTCGAAAGGCAAATCACACGAGATGAATAAAAGAGTTGCAAATCAAAGCCATCTCAACTACCCAAACGAACAAGTCCTGGCTCAATCACTGCACCAAAATTAGTAGCAAATGCCACGAGAAACCCAGGGCATGGCCCGGACCGGTCGGATCCCCGTACATACAGTACCGTACCACGGCATGGCACAGCATAGATCGCGCACAAAATCGGCCTTCCTTGTGTGCGAGGACGCACGCTCCAACAAGAGGTTTACCCGGGAACCCCGCCGGGGCTCCCGGTTTTCTTTGCGCTCTAGCGCTGCAATACGCAAGTACGTACAACATTGGGGTTGGTAAAGGGTGGACGGGAAGCGTGAAATGAGGAAGGAAGCAAAAGGTGAACTATGAGGGAGAAAACTTGAGAATGGGAGAGAATGGAAAAGGGTAAGAAAAAAGAGTTGGGAAAAAAATGGCATTCTGCCGGTGGTTTGCCCTGTCTAGGATGGCACGGGTATGTGGTTAAAGAGAGAAGAAAGGAGAAGAAAAGAGCAATACATAAGAGATAACCCCCCGCTCCCCGTGTGGACCTAGGACTGCTGGAATCATGAATGGACAGAAACAACATAATAATACAATAACATGCTCCAAAACTCCCTGGGAAACAACCCCACCTGCCATCCGCCGCTGCAGAACCTTTCCCAGCCCTTTCACCGCCCACTACTAGACCAACATAGACTACATAAGGGAACCACACTAACACAAAGACATAGACAGGTAACCATACAAAATTCTAATACAGATTATATGCAACAGACGCCGAGTGGAAGACAGCAAGTACAAGTACATGAGAAAAAGAAGAGGACGCCAATCTATACATCAAACAGAAAACGCAGCAAAGGAAGCCATCTGGTTGCTCTAGTGCTCTAGTGCTCTAGTACGGCAGTTGTGGAGATAGGAAATCATACGTTCCCATGTGGATCGGGAAGTACTGCTGCTCGTTGGGGGCGGCGCTGCTAACGTCGTATATTGGCACTTGCGGATACAGCGGCTGACCGGAACTATCGACCGGGACTTGAGGAGGTGGGGGTTGTTGCTGCTGCTGTTGTTGCTGTTGCTGGTGTTGGTGTTGCGGTTGCTGAGGGTATCCTTCTTGCATGTACACAGGGACTTCGTGGTACGGCGGGAGGCTCCTAGGTGTGAGGATTTGGGCGGGGGAATGATTGTTGTGATTGGATTGAAGGGTGTTGCCCCAGAAACGGGAATCGTCGAAGGGGCTGCTGGAACCGGAAAATTCGACACACTTATTCAGCATCTTTTCGAGGCCTACCGATACCTGATGGATGATGTGCTGCTCTCCGGCTTGTTTTTCCTTCAATAGCTCGATCACCATCCCGACCTGTGCCCATACCTGTGCCGGCGCGAGGGAGGAGAATCCAACGCCTTTCCATCGGGCAGTGACCTTGAGCAGAAAGACTGCTGCAAATGCAATCATGGTATCGATGTATAATGGGACGCCAACCAACGAATCTCGGATCGATGACTCGTCCAGGACCACGGCAAGCACCGATGCCGCCGAGTTTATAGCGATATTTGCATACTCTTTTCTCAGAGGACTCAGGTTATTGATGGTAGCGGTAGAGGCCCCACGTAACGATAATGAATTGAGCTGGAGTTTGGCAAAGTGGTAGTGAAGATCAACGCCCTTTGCTGGATAATCACCTACGAAGGCGTTCGTTTCTATCGGGTATTGATTAGCATTATGGACAAAAGAAATCCCACCTCCCTGCCAACAGGAAATCTCGCACTGTGGAGCGGGGGGAGGGGGATTATGCATACGGAGGTCAGAAAACCTACGAAGTCGGGTGCGCCATGTGTTGCGCCAATTATCCAACTGCTCGTTGAATCCCGCCAGCTGCGATAAACTCTCGTCCGAAATCTCGCCCTCAGCCTCGCCCTCGAAGCAATTATAGATACGTGTCATAACGACAAACAGTGAGACCTGACTGATGACTCTGTTGTCGCCCTCAATCGCAAGGCTTGACTGCAGATACAGCTCGTACTTGCGCATGGGTTCATGATCATGGATGACCGGGGGACGACCGTACGCGATTGAGAAATGGTGGTCACAAACATAGAGCAGGTACCAGAGCCGAGCTCGCTCGAAATGTTCGGGTGACCCTGCCAAGGCCTTTCGGAAAGACTGGTGGATTCCCATCTCTGTCGCAATCCGAACGGCATGACCCGACAACTTCCACGAAAGCTCCGTCAGCCAGAAGGCTCCGATGCAGAGCGCGCGGATGTCGTCCATCTGGTGGTATCGGTCAAACATGGATGACGAAACGAGGCGAAGAAATTCTCGACATAGTTTTGGAAAGAGGTGGTGGTGTTGGGGAAGATGCAGTGATGATACGGTAAATATTGCAGCAGTTAGCAAACATGAGGAAGCCCGAGCAGCCTCCAGAGTGTTATGCGTCAGAGCGATATCAAAGAGATAGTGATTGAGAGAATCCCTAAATCTGCGTTGGAATTAGCCTCAGTGATAAAACCCTGATGTCGGATATTGTCGACAGCAACAAAGAAAAAATAATGAAAGCAAAAACGAAACTATGGAGCAGAATATCCCAGGCCATAAGGACCAATAGGGTATCCCTCTCATTCTCCGTCCCTCCCCCCGTCTTTCTCACCACCCTCTTCGTCTCCCTTTTGTTCAATTTCATGCTCGAGGTAGTATGAAAGAGTCGAAACATTTCTTCTCACATACAGGTTACATGGCAAAATATTTGCTACATTTGTAGAGGTTTGGTATTGAATTCTGACGGGAAAAAGCTCCCAAGTTAAATTGGACTATTAAAAGTGGGAGCCATACATTGTGAATAGTGCCTCCGCCTCAGCCTGTGTAATGAGCCCCGAGGAAACAAAGTCACCGTCCGACTCGGGAGGGTGCTGCTGTCCGATGCGGAGGCCACTTCTAGGGCCTTGAAGATTCGTCACCTCGTACAGCGACCCCATGGGATTCGAAACCAGAGAGTGCCCGTCATTCTCCTCCACCTTGACCTTTTCCAAATAGCGATCCGGGTATCTTACGTGTGATGCGGCGGCGGATATGCCCCGATCATACCTGCCGTCGCTATACCTATCAGAGGTCGGATATCGCTCTCTCTCGGTGGTTGAGGCGGCAGAAGAAACGGGAGAATCCATGGTGTATGAATACGCCGTCAAGGGGCGCATGCCATTGATCTGTAGCAGGTCCTCGACAGCACGTTGGAGTTGTGTAGTATCATCGCGCATAAGGCGCTTCCACCTATTATCAACCCATAATCAGCTTCATTATTCCCCCAAGTAACAAAATGGCTTCGCTCGATGATCTCTCCCCTCCCCTCCCCGCTTCCCCTCTTCCCTCGTCCCCCCTCTTTCATCTTCTCTTGTATTCCTCTCCTTTCATTTCCTTGGGGAGACCCTCGACCGACGATGGGTGATGATAGCGGATGACGTACTCTACATCTTCATCCAGGATAGTCTGCAGACTCCTGTTAACGACACACTCCAATTTCATCTTCTTGCATCTCACACAAGTCGATTCCCCTTCCTCGAAATCGCAGCGAATTTTCTGTTTCTTGCAGGCCGCACAAGCCCTGACCTTTCGAGATATCGTTGGGACCCGCCCACTCCCATCTAGAATCGAAGGAAGAACGTAGCGACCAGGTGAGCCGGAAGATGGCCTACCACTCTTGCGAGTGGGCCAGTCCGCTCCCGAACTGCCGGAATCATCAAAGCTCCTCTTGAGTCCACCGGGCTGAGGACTGTCTGCCATTCTCTTGGATCGCTCGGGGGGTAGTTGCAGGGTCAATTAGCGATTCGATGGGGCGAACTACAGGGGGAATATTGTTGACAAGAATGATGGGATGAAAGGAAGAAAGGATTGACCCCGGTGGAATATGGTTGATCTCTGTCAACAAGGTAATGTGAAAAGAAGATGAAGAAGAGGTAGAGGAAGGAGGAAGAGAAGGGGGGGAAGTGCGTTCTGCTGGTAAACGCGTTGGAGTCCCCGCTGAACGTGGGGGAGGCGGGAGGGGTTGAATGGCTTTACGCTTCAAGCGGAACTTGACGTAGAGGATAAGGGCGGATCGGTTGAAGGTGAAAATGTGAAAGCGGGAGACATGTGGGGAGACCAGCGGTGTCTATAAAGCATTTCACCGTAGGGGAGTGCTAGAAGGAGCCGGCACTCAGAGAAGCTCCAAAATTGGAAAGGTTAGCTGCTTTTGAGAAGGGTGTGTGTAGCAGGCAACGAAGGGGGAATGTATGGTGATAGAGTACCGTACTGGTAGAGTAGAGTAGTGTAGGTCGCTGGGTGTGCTCTGGTCCTGCTCAATGATAATTGCTTGCAGTCCGCCCCCCCCCCCTCCCTTCCCTCCCCCCTCCCTCTCACTCACCCACTCCCACTCTACGAGTACCTTCTCTCAACATTCTCTCACCCTTCCATTCCATGCAGCAACCCATGCAAATAGCCAGCCGGAGAAACTAGCATCCTAGCTCTTTAGCGAACCCACATACTGTACTAGTACACCCCCGCCCGGGGGGGTTACAGCCTTCTCCCCATTCCGCTTTGCTCGCGGAAACTCGGCCTTCCTTACCCACCCCGAACCGGCCCACATTGCCGCTGCATCCAGAACACGTCCCGGCGGTGGCTCGCGAACGACTCGAGCCAGTGCTCAATCGTACAGCAGCCACAGCCTGTCAGAAAGCTGGAGGAGAGAACACACCACCATGGATAATGGATCTCATGGAAAAATGGGAAAAAAAGAAAGGAAAAAAAAGCAAAGTAGAATATTACGAAAAAGGAAAAACGTCTTGAGAAGGCCTGAGGAAAAAAAAAGAAACCACAAATCACAGCAGGAGGGGAATAAAGGAAAGGAAAAAAGAAAAGAAAATCCTGATGGATGAGCAGCAAGGATTAGCAGCAGCTAAACGGCAACACCCGGTACTCGAGTATACTCGTACTCTTCATCCATGGTGATAACGAGCATGCCTGGAGGGCGAGCAAGAAAAGGAGGAATGGTTGGAGGGAAAAAAAAGGAAAAATGAAAGAATGAAAGAAAAAGAAAAAAATGAAAGGAAAAAGAAAAAGAAAGGAAATAGAGAAAAAAGAAAAGAACAGAAAACGGTTTCTTCTTTAGCCGCAGCCCGCCCTCCTTGACCCATGCAGCTTCTACTTGTATGATGCCTCCTCTCCCCTCTCTCTCCCCTCCCCTTTCCTTATATGCCCATACACTCCTTAGCAAGGGAGACGGGGGTACCGTTCATACGTCTTGCTACAAATTCATCAGATACCTGCCAGGTTCAGGGCCCTTTCCAAATTTTTATCCTATTGATAGGGGAGTCGTGATCTATGAAGGCAGTGATGGGAAGCCAACTTACCACCTTACCACTCTTTATACACTCTCGGCAGCAATTTTTGTAATGCTGTATACCTGCGTGTGAATACCGTACCGGTATCATGCTGTAATAGTAGCACCATCCGTCGCCCCCCCTTTCAATATCATACATCGGAGCTGTACTGTAAGAGCGTTACTGTCATACCAACTCTGGGCCATGATGCCCATTTCTGTAATCCTTCAGCACCTCTATTTTCCGCAAGGCTGTGCAAATTGCCCTCACGATACTTCGCGTTTATGCAGTTACCCGTATCGGGACCATGTCTCTCCTCACATCTATACACTGGCATCAGGCAGGAGTTGGCCCTGACTCTGGCGTATGATGTGATAATATCATACGCTCTCGACCTGATGATACCCTGGAAACCATTCCCCAATGAGCCAGGGCCAGGGTAGGGACATGGTCAGGGCAGGGTCTGTTTCTGCCTGCACCTTTCTCCACAAACGCTCATCTTGCTCTTGGGCAAATGTGAACGATGAAGCGCCAATCTCTACCATTCTTCCGGCTTTTATTACCACAACAATTACCATCATCCCCATTTGCCCCACGGCGCTCCAGCTCTTCCGCTTCTTTTTCGAACCCTAATACCCCTTCCTTGCTCGTTCCCTAACTACCGTATCTAACCCTCTGCCAGCCTCGATAGGAATAAATAGGGAAAGGTGGGAAATGACAGCAACATCACGCAAATTAACACATCCATCAGGCACCACAACAACCACCACCCACTCGCCCTCCCCCCCTCTCCCATTCCCTCGCAAAGGAGCGGAGAAGCGCCAAAATAATAGTACAGCCACTTCCCCGGTATTTATAGGTGTGAGGCCTTTCTGCACTCCGAATATGCACAACTAGCGTGCGGTAGTACGCAGGCTAGGCCTTCTCGTTTCACGATCACCGTTTTATTCTAGAAGAAGGGGAAATCCGAAACCTGCCTTGGCCATTGAATCCGGGTTCCTTTTGGGGGAAGCAGCGTATTATGGTCCCCTAGCCTCCCTCCGTGCTTCGATGGCAAGGGAAAACTGAAGCGGCGGATAATACTTTGATCCCACTGCCACAAGAAAAGAAAAAAAAAATTGTAATAAAGGTCACGATTTATTATTCGGCCATTGCGTTGCGTTGCCTTGGCACTGGTTACTTGTCCCGTCATCCGAGCAGGCATCGTTCACGTTCCGATGAGCTATCACTTCAGCATGGTTTCTGATGCTCCGGACAATATTTGCTCCCGAGGCAGGCGCGATGGTTATGGCGATATGGTACTGTGCGACCTTTGAAGATCTTTTACTCTCGTGGAGGGGAATACCGGTAGCAAGTTGCTTAATTACTTATCTATTTCACCTGTTGTACCTTGCGTGCCCCTCCGGCTTTGGAGAGTATGATCGCCTCTAGAATCATGTCATTGTGATTTATGTTTCTCATGGTGCACGAGCGCATATGCTCGAGTATTACGGCGATTGCCTCAAGTTAGACCACACTCCGCGAAAATGGTTATGCCATATCTCCCGCACCAAGAGTCGAAAACATCCGCACAGTGCTCGAGTATGATGTTAACATCAAAAATCAACCCACATCACCTCAACATTAACCATAGAAAATAATAATGAGGGGAGAACGAGCAAAAAGTCTCAGGGTCGGTCTGGGGATATTCCCCTTCGGGTTTCTGCCCTGACATATCTCTTTACTTCCTTTCCCCTTCCCCTTTCCCTCCTGTTGGTATTGCCCTTCCCTTCTCACTATCCAGCTTGCTCGCTTTCTTTATTGCACTTCCCTCGTTCGCTTCGATCCCCCATCGGCTGTCTTGCTTTCTCTCCCTCTCCCCTCTCTCCATCACAGGCTCTCGAGCCTCTCACAACGCCCACCACACCACGCTAGGCTAGTGCCACACACAACCCCATTCTGGACGTGCGGTAGATCTGACATGAAAAATGGGGGAATCGACCAGCCACAGATCCGCTTACAGTTTACTGTACTGTACGAGGGTTCAGATGGAAGGGCTAGCACCGATAGGATCAAAAGTTTTGCATGCAAGGCTTGAGACTCTGCTTGATTGTGCATTTTGGGGGGGTGGTCTCCGTAGGGACTGAATATTTTGTTTTCCTACTTTTTCTTTTTCTGCTGCTGCTCGTGCCAGGTGACGATGGGCGAGCGGGGTGACGGCTATTTCAAAAGTTTACTCCGCAGTAATATTTCCTCTCTATCGTACCAGTATTGGCACAAGCATTATACCGCGCTAAGACTGCGCTATAATTTTTCAAAGCACCTTGTAAAATTCGGGGTACTTACTGCACGACTGCTGTAATGTTTCCAATACTCGTACAGTGCCAGCAGCAGTCGAGGTTAAATCTAAGCTGGCGCCCTTCGCGGTCAAGGACACCCTGGCGGCGATTTAGATTTTTTTTTGGAGGATATAGCATGCGCCATATCGTAGCCATGATTAACCAGGAGTAGATCCCCCACCGCTGCATTGGACTCGACCGTTCCTTCACGGCATACCCATTCACCCTTTGTTGCGCTCAATGAGAACCGTACTCATTCCCCGCTACCACTAATTCTCCACATTCTGGCAGAGACGGGTGAGATGCTGCCCCAGAACGCCGCGATTCTCCCTTCTCTTCCCACTCTTACGGATCTAGATAGTGGTAACACGAGGCTTTTGGGGCTCACTATCTCACCGAATACGGTATAGCGCCGTAATGTGGCAAACCGGTTAGGCAGGGTACAAGTACTCGAGCACTCGAGGAGTGGCAAACCCAGGATGGTTCATCTCATATCAGGCCCTGTCATGTCGCAGGGAAAAATGTTTTATTGGCCGAGGGTGCTCGCCTCAACGTTTTCTTTTTTCCTTCCCTTTTTCCCTTTTTAATCATCTTGCCCAATTTCTTTCCTCTGCCCCCCGGCCGCCAAGCATTGGTCTTGGCTGTCCAGTGCCGTTCCTTTCGGTACAGCACAGACACCGCAACAATAGGCTTTACTTTCCCAGAGGAGAGACAAGGTAAAAAAATGGACCGGAAAATCGATTTTCCACAAGTGAGAAACCCCACATGCAACCGCCCTTCCAAGGGTCTAATATTACCATCTTCGGACTAGTCATACGTTTTGATCATAAATAGCTCAGGGGGGGGGAAGGGCCCACCCACCGGTGGCCGCACTCAAATGGAAGACATCGAGGCGACCACTCGCGCTCGCTCGCTCAAGGGGTCGGACCCGATGACGTTGTGGCGCCGAGTGATGATGCATGATTGCGAGAAGGAGTGTTTTTTTAAGCAGCCGTGAGAAAAAAAAAAGAAAAATTAAATATGACCAGATCTACCAATTGTCTGCCTCCCCTGGTTAAGGTTTTTGATGTCTGTTCTTACAGTTCTTCGACATGGAACCCTATTCCTGCATGACACCCTTGGCCCTGGCCTGTATCCTAACCGACGTTTTCTTCACACATTGACAGGAACGGGGAAAATGAAATATCATCATAAGATTGCTATTATTATTGGGGAATGGACTGCCGTGCTGGGTCGTGCAGCAGAAAGTCCTCCCGCCAGGGTCAAGTTTGAACCCTCTCTATTTGGTGCTCGAGATACAGTGGATTGACAGACCGACAAAGTGGAGACTGTACTTCCGGTTCCATCCCTTCCGATCCCTTTCCTTTTCATTTTGCGGAAAAATAAATAAATAAATAATAAAAACTCTCCCCCCGTCAAATCTTTAGGGTACGGTAGCTACCCAGAAATCCAAGGTTCAGCGGATATCTCTCTCCCCGATCCTCCGGAAGGCTCGGCGGAGCCTATCCATCCCATCCTTGGGAACCATCTGCACCCTCAGCCCGAAAAAGTTGAGCAGAACCTTCCCGGTCCCTGTCCGCGAAATCCGACCAGAGGTG